CAGGAAAAAATTTAAAAAATTAAAAAATAAAAAAAAACAGGAAAATGGGGCTAGAGAGATGGCTCCATGGGTAAAATACACGTGGTGAAAACATGCAGACCTGCACCTGACTTCTTAGAGTCCCATCACACGGTAGACATGGTAACACAATCCCAATACTACTATAGTGTGATGGGAGGTAGACAGGTTCCCTGGGAGCTCACAGGGCAGACCACCTAGTGTATACAACAGCAAACAAGAAACCCTGCCTCCAGCCAGGTGGAAGATGAGGACCAACACCTCTTCCAGGTGTGTTTTGATACATATGCACCCACATTCATGCATGAACACCCACATGTAAATTTTTAAAAAAGAATAGGAAGTAGTCTGTTCAAAAGTATGTTTAGGGGATAGTTCTAAAATGAAAGGTAAATTCTAGTTCTGCATAGCTTTATTATGATGAACCATTTTCTTTGACTAGATTTTGCTGATACCAACAACTTTAAGTACTGCAATGAAGATGAGCGTTCCATGAAATTCTATGTGCTGAGCTAAACCAATAGCATTTATTGGACTGGGGGGGAGTGAAAGCATAGTTGTATAGAGCACTAAATGTGAGACACATAAGAGATCACACCCTAGAGCAAAGGAGGCAGGGACTGCAAGACCATGCTCAGACACATATTAATGGCCGGTGAAACATTGTGGGGCATTTTTCTCAGGAGAGACATATTAACAGTGGGGCAGCTCAACTGGTAAAGCTGAAGCTCTAAGTTGGCTCGCCAACATCTTGGAATGTGGACACTGAAGCTCGCACCTGTAGTCCCAAACTTGGAATACGAAAACAGGAGGATTATAAACTGGAGATCATCTGTGGCCTTGGATATAGATGGCCTTTGATATAGACAAAAGAACCTGTCCTTTAGAGGGAAAAGAACTGCTTTGCTTTTCCGCCTTCTCTGATGCCCAAGGGAAAGGTAGCTTATAGCCATAAACAATAATACTCATGTCTAAATATGGCAACAAACAAGAGACATGAGACTCCGGTATCACTGCACATATTCAAGAGCACCTGACCCTGTGACAGACTGCACTTCGGGCTTTCTTGTTATGTGGAAGGAATAATCACCCACTTGCTTAAACTACTCCAGGCTGAATTTTGTGTTTCTTGTAGCCCATTATGTTTTCTAACTAATGTTCCCAGAAGAACATGCCAGGGACTGCTTCTCCTCATCTGTTTGGAAAGGAAAAGGTAAAACTTATTGCAGATTTGGTGTGTGGCCAGCAAAATTTCTGGGACTTCTAAGCAAAGCACACTCGCCTTCCTTCTGGGCTCTGGGCCAGTTTGTCATGCAAAAGGTGATGGGCTATGCCTTGTACACGGGGAGCTAAAAGAGACAGGGTATATAAACAAGCTGCCTACAATAATGGAAGAATGTCATCCAAGGCATTTGACATTCCCTGTACAGTTTGAGAAACTGATAAAATCGTAATTGTAAAAAAAGACATGCCGTATTGCCAATCCATCGCTGCATCTCGTGTGCAGTCTGGCACATATGTCTTATGGCTCAGCACAAGCAACAGAAGGAATGAACAAAAAGAAAAGAGCAATTTCCCCACCGTAAATTGGAAAGTCTGCCAACCAGCTAAGTGATCCGCCATCAATCAGTGTTAAATTCTCCTTAGCTGCAGAAAATTCAAGGGCTAACTATTACTGAGAGATTTCCCACAGTGACTAATGGTAGATGACAAACACATTTAAAATCTGCATAGACCAGCACCAGTTTAAGATGTAACATGAATAATAAATAACTTTAAAGAAAAATCCCAACATGTGAAATAAGAAACAATCTTTTCCAACATAAATTACAGAGAAGATTATAGTTCCAGAAAGGTATTTGCAAAATGACAAAAACAAAGTCAAATGTGTAATTCATTCAGAGGGCAACTACATTTGATGATTTTGCACATAAACAGATCTTGAAAGGGTTAGACAGAAAGGCTATCAAACACTGGTCACCAGGTTGTAACTGGGAGGAAAATCTCCGGTCTTTCATCAGTTATAAGTGGCTGTCAGTGAGGGGATTTCAGACAGACTCAAATGCAACAAGACAGGCTTTCTATTTTCCAAGACATATTAACAGTTCTTTGTAAGACAAATTAGTAAAGGCTCTTCAATCTCAAACCATGCTGAGGTACAAGCACAGAAGAAAAACACCACCGTAGTTAGAGGATAAATGCTAGAAGGTATAAATGGTCGTAAATGTATGGTGTGTTAGTGCTCAGAAAACAAACAAATACAAAAAAAGCATTGGGTCAGAAACATAGGTTGAATTCATGGCCCGAGATGGATCAGTAGGTAACATGTGATGTGAAAGTCAGAGGACCTGGGTTCAGATCCCCTGTACCCTAGTAAAAAGCCAAACATGGCAGCTTGTATACTCTGAGCCATAACCAAATCTATCCATTTGAGGGACTGCCTGGTCAGCCAGGCTAACTGAAATGCTGAGCTCTGGGTTCATGTAACATGAGGACCTGCTCGTTTGGGTTTCTGTCCTACCGAGTTCCCATAGCCGGCAATTCCCAAAGAAAAATCACACAGAGGTCTCCATAAGTTTTAAACTGAATGACCCATTAGCTCAGGCTTTGTATTAGCTCTTATAATGTATATTAACCCATTATTCTTATTTATGTTAGCCACATGACTCAGTACCTTTTTCAGAGGGGCAGATCACATCCTGCTTTTTTGGTGTATGGGCCAGGACTGGGGAGGAATGGACTTCCTCCTTCCCAGAATTCTCCTGTTCTCATTGCCCCACCTTTACTTCCTGTCTGGTTGTCCCACCTATACTTCCTGCCTAGCCAATCAGCATTTACTTAAAACACGATTGACGGAATACAGATAATTCTCCTGCACCTCTTCCCCCTCTTTTTTTTTAAAAAAAAAAAACAAAGGAAAATATCCACAGCCCATTTTTTAGAAATGTGTGCATAGTATTCCAGGCTACTTCTAGCTGGTTGGGGGCTCTGATAAACTTATGGGGACCTAAAGAAAATTTAGAGTTATGATCAAGTCCTGTGAGTTTTGATCATCTCAGGAAGTATCTTGAATCTGTTCTGGATGGAGAACTCAGACATCTGGGCCATATTTTCCTATCAGAGATTTCTCAGGTGGTCTTCCTTGATCAAACCTGATTTTTCTTAACTCAGAATGAATCCACAGCCTCTCATTTCCTGTGGAAACAAAAGCAAAAAATCTCTTCTCCAAAGTAACATATCTTTTGACTTCAATTTTAAAGTCAAGATATTTTCAAAATACCTATCTTGGATTAATTCAGCAGCATTTATACACAAATATCTTTTAGAAGCTGTTGCTCCTTCCTCAGAATTCAAACAATTCAAAGAGGGCATAATAACATACAGTATCAAGGTTCTCTGTGTATTTTTCATCTTTAAATGGCTTTATTTTAACCTCTATTTTATTTTATTTTTACTTTTTGTCTTTGTGAGACAGGGTTTCTGTATAACTTTGTCCTGGAATAACTCTGTAGACAAGACTGTCCTTGAACTCACAGAGATTCACCTGTCTCTGCCTCCCAAGTGCTGGGATTAAAGGTGTGATAACACACCTTCAACTCACAGAGACCTGTCAGCCTCTGCCTCCCAAGTTTTTGGGTTAAAGGTGTGTACCACCACACCCAAAGGCTTTCTTTCTTTCTTTTTTATTTTAAGGAGTTTAACCCTTAGCCTGCATGTATTTTTAACACACTGTAAGTCATTTAGAGGTTTCTTTGTCTTTGAATCTCTATTTACTGTATATCTCTCTCTTTTTCTGACTACATGAGTCTTTAATTTGCTAAGCAATATGGGTAGGCTTAAAGCTGTGGCTTTGAGGGCTTGATTCAGCTCATTCCTTTTATTTATGAAATGTCAGCCTTATGGCAGAGATACTGGTCAGAGCCATGTTTGTTGCCACAATTCTATGGTGTTTCAAGATCCCTGCCTACAAGCAAGCTGCAGCAGTGTGCTTACAAACCACACTCAAATGCTCCATAGTTGGACTGCCTGCCTGAAAGAGTCAGAGTTTATCTGGCAGGATGGCCCAGAAAGCCAGCCTTTTAAAATAGCGAGGCTTTTTTTCCTGCGATGGCTGAAAACCAAAAAGCAGTGGTCAGCTTGTTATTAACACTATTTAAGTGTTTCGTGGCAGGATCTCTTAAAGAGCTGCAAAGTTTTACAGCTAAAGCTGAGTCAGGAAGCCTCTTTTAGATGAGAGCATTTGCTTGCCTCTAGCAAGAAGAGCAGACCTGAGAAATTGCTGCTACCAAGAAGCCATGCTTTACTCTATTATTTTATGCCCAGAATTACTTCCCAAGCTCTCTCAGGCTTTATGTGGATGCAGTTGTCCATGTAAACACTATTCTGTAGTATGGGGGCCTTCTTTGATTGGCCCATTAGCTCAGGCTTTGTATTAGCTCTTAGAGCTTCTATTAACCCATTATCCTTATCTATGTTAAGCACATGGCTCAGTACCTTTTACAGTGGGGCATGTCACATCCTGCTTCTTCTGTGGTCTGGGCAGGACAGAAACCCCAACAAACAGCAGTCCTGTCATACTACAGGTTCTATCTAGATGACCAAAACCCCATCTCAGGGAATCAGAAGCTGTTTCTTTGACACTATATACTTTTATATATGTTAATGCTATGGTGAAATGCTCCCTAGTGCCAAAGGTTCACGTCAATGTTTATAACTGAGCAATCATTCATTATGCTTTTCTCATGTTTTAATGGCACTTAAAGAGTCCATCCTTTGTAATCCATCCTTCTTCCTTAGGTATTTATCTTTGTTACATTGTTAAATGGTGACTTGTTCCATAGTTTTTGTATTTGTGTTTGATGCACTTTTTTTTAGAACTTTCAAATGAATTTTATTTCTTTTGTTATGCTATATTAAATTAACAAAGCGTTTCCGTGACAAGTTTGTTTTGAGACAACTCTGCATTATGATATCTTAGATAATTACTTATTCCACTCTTTTGGGGTAACTCTGCCAACAGGAGACAGGTTCCATTCTACCCCCATCTGTGTTGTATAAAACACATATCCAACAAAACAGAAAGTGGATCCACTAATTAGCATCATATTGCCGTATTTGTCATGAAAATCTGAGGAGGGCTTTGTGTGGCCCTGTCTTGCCACAACTTGCTGAATGCTTTGAATCTTGAGATGGTTTAGTGCATATATGGCCAAGGGAAACATCATGACGTGTGATGTGATTACTATTGATTGTAGCAATGGGTCTATTTCTAGAGACCTGGCTGATGGATCAAAACTAAGAGACAGCAATCTGCAGAGACTCTCAACTGCAGATGCTCTCCTCCAAAGATGTGACTCAGTTTCCAGCTACACCACAGGCACAATCCAGAAGCTTGATGCACATTTTTAACATGATAGATACAGTGTGTTGTTCCGCTAAGTGTTATGGAAAAAAATCAGTCTTGTAGCAGTGGCATTTCATGTCTTCAATTATTTCTTTTCTTGAAATTAAAAACAAAATGATGGAAAGCAATAGAAGATACCTAAGGTTGACATCTTCCACAGGTTATCACCTTCCACAGGTGATACACACATATAACACAGACATGAGAGAGAGAGAGAGAGAGAGAGAGAGAGAGAGAGAGAGAGAGAGAG